GAGAACGGCGAGCTGAGCTGCGCCTACAGTGGCTGTGTTAGAAACCTTGCTGAGATTTTATTATTTTTTAAAATGGTTGGGAGCAAGTTGATTAAAGCGGTTAAGCCGGGTTGCCCGCGGTGGCTTGAAGAGCGTGTGTCATGGTTTTGTTATTCTCTGTCACCAGGGGCCTGGAGGGTTGAAGTATTTCGTAAGCAAAAATATCTATGCTGGAATAAGGAGTTAATGATGGTTCATGGTGTATTCATTGGAAACAAGTAGTTGCAAAATAATGAAACACAAAATCTTGTGTAGAGGACAATACACTGTATGTAATTGCATGGCAACAAGACCAAAGGGTATAGATAGTCCACCCATTTTACTCTTGGGTTGAGAGGTAGGAAAAAAGTTTTTTTTTAAATTACATTTGTTTAGGGTAGTTTACTGGCTGTGCTGACTGGTTGGGGGTACTGCCCACTGGCTGCCCCCACAGAGCAGGCCTCACCTGGGTCTCCCGAAGCACAGGGAAAAACCAACCAGTGAACTGCCCCGTCTGCCAAGGCCAAGTGAGACCTGAGAACTTGGTGAGGATTTGGTGAAGCTTTTGAGAAGGATAGTTGCCATCTTCTTGCCAATGGTGCCAGGGTGAGGGGGAAGCACAGCCCAAGAGCCCCAGGTGGCCCCCTGTCAGCCCTGGCCTGTGAGGTAGAGAGTGGAGGTAGGTGGCCTGAGTACCAGAACTGAGAATGGCTTCTTAGACCAACTATCTACCAGGAAGTCTCCACCCGGGGTAAACACCCACACCCAAAAAAACAAAACTGCTTGTGACAACAGGCTCCCTTGGCAACAGGAGGAAAACTGAGGAAGAATTTTCCTCTTGCCTCTGCAAGATGGCATCTGCGGCAGGGCTGGGCCCCGCAGCCGCACCCTCCCTGTGGTTCTGGAAAAAACATGACTCATGCGACTCTCAGCACAGAAGATGGAGCACGGCAAGCCTGGGCTCGTTCACCAGCCGCGGTTTAGCTGAGCTCTTCTACCAGGAGAAGATTCCAGCAGCTGACCCTTCTCTGAGGTCTGCCCTATTGCTTTTGTCCTGGCAAATGTTTCCAGGGGTGGGTTGGGGGAGACTTGGCCTGAAAAAACAGTGGAGAAATAGGAAATTGCCTGTCAGAATGTTCTAGACATCTGGGAGGTGCATGTTACACCAAGCAAGTGCTTTTCCTGCTGCGTCACTTTACCAGGCTGTGGGGTCAGCCCTGTGTTTATCTACGATGCACCTGAGAGATGGTGGTAACCACCAGCCGGCTGCTTCCTGGGCCCAGCTTGATGTCTTAGCTTGCTTTTCTCTACGTCTGGTTTAAAAATCTCTTGTTCACACGTCTCATTCCTAAATCCCAGAAACAAACTGTCTCAGATTTTATTTTTCAAAAGCAAAGTTGGTGGAATTAGCAACACACAAAGCATGAGGCATCTAGGAAGCCTAAGATTCTCCATTACAAACGAAGGCCCTCCTTTGTGTCCTCGTGTCTGGAGCAGCCCCAGCCACCCACTCCATTTTCAAGGACAAAATGGAGCCACTTGTGCTAAGCCCCACACAAGACTGCATACTTGACCTAATTACAGTTTCAGCCTCTCCCAAGAATGGAATTTTAAACCAGTGAGTCTGGAATTTCCTGATCATCACTGGAGAGGTAATGTGCTGATGGAACCCCCTCCTCTTCCCTTCAAGGGAAGGTGACTTTGGCTGAAACAATCCCTTCTTTTTTCCCCCAGTAACCTCCTTGTCCTGCCCCCTTTTGCCTATAAAGTCCTTCCATTTTGTACAGTGCCTGAGAACTCCCTTCTATCTACTAGCTGGGATCCTACCAGATCCATGAATTGTTGAATAAAGCCAATTAGATCTTAAAATGTACTCAGTGGAATCTTGTGTTTTATCACTAGAAAACCACACAGAAACATCTGTGCCCTGCCTGAGGGAGCCCAGACAGTGCTCGCAGAAAGATGGACAAATATGGGGCTTAAGTTGTGCCTCCTTCTCTGCAAATGAGACTAAAAATATCTCCACCCTGACAGAGGAGGAGGGCATGCATCAGCAGATTTCTCTAGATCAAAACATGCTGTTCCAGGAAACATCAGTAAACAAGACCTTAGATGCCTGGGTGGAGCTGGGTGATGGGTACGCCCCTTCCTGGGGGGTTGCAGAAGCCTGCCCCTTCCAAGGCAGCCCACCCAGGGGCCCAGGGTTGGAGAGGGAAGAAGGACTGGAAAGGGCCCCTTGGGCAACATCCGGATTGCAGGGTCAGGTCCCGGGCACCAAGTCCTTTCTCACGGCCATAGCCACCTCCCCATCATATTCTGAAGCCAGCTCAGCTCAGTTGTTCCAAACACATACATCCCAGGAAAGGACCCAGATTTCCTAAGGAGCCCCTGGGCAAGGGAGAGAAGGCGGTGAGAAAGGAGTGGTACTTCAGGTTCTCACCCATACCAGGATATGGCAGTTTTGGGGCCACTGCTCAAGAGTGTGCCAGAACATTACCCTGTCCCCTGCAAATCCAGTTCCAGAGCTGTGGTGGCCTCCAAGGTCACCTTGGGCTCCCCAATCCTGGAGACCCTTAGAGGAAGCCTTTTTCCCCTCTGTGCTGTGAAGCCCGTTGTCTCAGGGCCTGGGTGAGGAAACTGCAGTCAGCGCACAGTGGGGAGCAGCCCCTACAGGAACCACAACCCAGACCCCACCCGTGGCCCCTCCACTCTCCTGCCCTGGCAGGAAGCTGGGCCTCAGCCTGGGCTCCGGCGGTTAGCCCCCACCTCATGTGGCTCGGGACACACTCTCAACCTCTCCCAGTGGCCTTACGGGTTCCCACTCAAATTCTGATGGATATGGTTCTGCCTGGAAGGCTCTTGACCCCGTGGCCACCTGCCAGCTGTCCCTGAGCTTCTTCAGGCCTCTGCTCAGGGTGGCCTCTGTGAGCCCTGGCCCCACTGCCCCACTGGGTTTGAGCGCCTTGAGGGGTTTCTGTGTGTTTTGCCCTCTGCTGGGTCTGTGTCCATAGTCCCTGCCACACAGCGGACCTCAGTAAATGTGCTGAAAATTTTTATAAAGTTCGCTCTTCCACTGTGAGGCCCCCAGTAAATGTGTGTGGTATTTTCCAAACTACTGAAGGAAAGGAATGAGTCCCCAGGTCAATGGCAGCCCCAGATCTGGAGGCCTGCCTAGCCCTGGGCTCCCAGGCCAGGAGACAAGGACAGGGCTGGGGGCTGCTTCCTGGGGACGGGGGACTGGCCGCTCGCAGGGAGTGCCTGGGCTGGGCTGCAGGAACCAGGGGAGCCTTGCTCTGCCAAAACTGGCAGAAGGCACTTGAGGGAGAGGGCATTGAAGTTGGAGACCCCACAGACCCTGGTATACAAAGCAGAAGAGGGGATGGACACCCCGGTTCCCTGCTTGAATTTTCTGGGCCCATGTGGGCCACAGGCAGGGAACCTGAGG